AGCCGCGACACCAGCCTCCTAGAATCTCTTATCCCTGTTCCCAAAATCCAGGTTTGTGACCTGTCCCGGCATGGAAGGAGAACTGCAGAGTGGTCTGTGAACACCTGTTCAGAGGGTCAGAGGAGAAGCCACTCTCCTCCCTCTAAACCCCAGTATCCTACTGAGGCCAGATCACTCCTGGAAATAGGAAGTCCTCTTCCAGCTGCCTTTGCTGAAAGAGGAGCAGCAGGCAAAGAAAAACATCTCCATAGAACAGCCAGCCATTTGCAGCAATTTTATTTCCAAAGATTTCCTGCTGTGGCTAAATGGTGTGGCTGCTTGGTTTGTTATTTAAAAGAGTGACCCTAGTGAGACCAGAGCTAGAAGTGGAGGGAGAGTCTGATTGCAGCCTAGGATAGGTCAAAGCAGCTGGAGCTGACTGTGCCTCATTGAATCTGTGGATGGTTTGCAGAGGGCAGTACCTGGTGACAGATAACACCTCAGACTCCTGCGGGATAACTCTTAACAATCCTCCTTAGTTGACTCCAATACTTTGTGGATCCTTGTAGAAAAGCACCTTAATATTCCCAAGAGGACTAAGGATGTCATCAAGGACTGTAAGATACATTTGGGAAGAGAGGAGGGAGAAGACATCACAGAGAAGTGAGTGATGTGATTATATGGACAGTGGAGACATCCCAGAGAAGATGTGCAGCAGGCAGGTGATTCGGCTCCCAGGAAAAGTCAGGGAACTGGGGTGGGAGAGAAAGCTCAGAGAGGAAACTTCTTGGTAGAGAAGTAGGCAGCAGTCTGGCAACACTTCTCAGACAGAACATGGAAATCCAGCAAAGGATCTCTGTCTGCTTCTCTCTGCACCTGCCCCCCTCTACATCACCATTTCTCTGTGCCCTCCATCCTGGGTTCTCAGGAATTGACCTACAACCTGTATGATACAATCCTGGTTGCTTTGAGAACGACTGTCCTTGAGACAATGCAGGTGGGCATCCATGGCCATCTGGACAATAACCTCTAAGGAACAGAGGATGGAAGACAGCAGCCTCCTGCAGGGCCATTTGAAGAACTCTGGAGCCTCACAGAGATGCTAACAACAGTTCAAACCAATTGTGGCTGAAGAGACAGGTGGCCAGAGACCAGGTTTCAGGGACAACATTTACATTCTACCATAAAATAAGCCAAGTAAGCAGGAGATGATAATATCTGCTGATTGCTATTTACCCAAGGCTTAAGATAAAAGCAAGCATTTCTGGGCCATGTTTATGGATTTCAGGGTAACAATAATTCACTTGATTTCTTTGTGTTGTTTAGCAGCTATTGTAGTCTCAATATTCCTTCATGGTTAGCTTTGGTTTTAGTTAGCAAATATTTGGGAAAATATGAATTGAATTTGACGCTTTTGTAAAGATTTATTTGAAAGGAAGAGTGACAGAGAGGGAGGGAGGCAAAGGAAAAGAGATATTACATCTACTGGTTCACTCCACAAGTGGCCACAATGGCCAGGGCTGAACCAGGCCAAAGCAAGGAGCCTAGAACTCCATCCAGGTCTCCCATGTGGGTGGTGGGGCCCAAGAACTTGGGTCACCTTCCACTATTTTCCCAGGTGCACTGGCAGGAAGATGTAGCAGAAGCAGAGCAGCCAGGACTCCAACCCGCTTACCAATAAGGGATGTCAGCATCACAAGCACTGACCTAACCCTTTGTGCCACAATGCTGGCCTCTCATATTTGAATTTAACGCTACACTCTGCAGAGAAAACAATAATCTACAGAATAGAATCAAGAGTAAATTTTCCAAGTGAATCTGTGTTGTCTTATAAAGGAGCAGAAGAAGAAAATTCACATCTGCAACAGGAAGGTCTCTGCACTCACAGAACCTGCAGGGAAGGTTCACAGAGCATATAATTACTGGCTCCTGAAGAGTGGCTTTATTGGAAAAGTACAAGATGCAGTGATGGCCTATAACAGGGTGATGGAAGTCCAAAGCTTGGGACAGACATTCCAGCCACAGTGATGCCCAAGATTGAAGCCTGAGAAACAAATACAATGAGGCATATGCAGGAGCATGAACACAGGTGCATTTGATGGGAAGGGACGCATTGGGGAGTATGTCCAAGGCAGAGGGAGCAAAGAGCTGAGAGTGACTGGGGATACAGCAAAGCTTTGAAGAACTAAAATAAGTCTAGTGTTGCAGGAAGGTAGTGTTCAAGGTAGAAAATGGCACAAACCCATTGCAAAAAGACCAGCAGAGCCCATGCTGTGAGAGACTTTATAAACCATATTAACGAGACTGGACTTTATTATAGAAGCAATAAAAAGCTACTGAAAGGTATTAAGCATAAGAGTTTTGCAATCACATTTTCATTTTAGATCACTCTGGCTGCAGTATAGATTGAAAAGAAACAGAACTGTGATAATTTAAGAGCCCCCGCAGCAACGCAAGTAAGAAAGGTGGATTGGGATAGGGCTGGGGAGATGCAAATGAGCAAAAGCATCCCAGAGGCACTGGAGGACAGAAGTCCACAGAAAATGGCATGGTTGGCTATGACGTCTCAGGCATATGCAATCAAGGACATCTTGGAAATTGTTATTTTAGGCAACTTGGTAACAGGATGCATTCTTTACAGGCAGTACAGATTTGGCTAGGAGAGGGTGGGAGGGCAGTGGGAGATGAGATAAGGAGTTCAGCTTTGGGTATGATGAGTTCTAAGGCCCTAGGGCATCCAGGGGAACACATCTGGTCCACAGTTAAAGGGAAAGACCAAGAGCTCAGGAATGAGGTTCTGGTTACAGATGTCACTTTGTAGAATGTACACATACCCATTGTATACTTTGGCAATGGATGAGAAAAGACAAGACCTTGGCAGAGCCCAGAGAAGCATCTGTATTGAAAGGATGGGTCAAGAAAGGGGAGTGGGGCTGGTGCTGTGGCGTAGCAGGTTAAGAAGCCGCCTGCAATGCTGGCATCCCGTATGGGCACCTGTTTGAGTTTTGGCTGCTTCACTTCCGATCTAGCTCCCTGTGAAAGCAGTAGAAGATGGTTCAAGTCCTTGGACCCCTGCACCCAGGTGGAAGACCCAGACGAAGCCTCTGGCTCCTGGCTTCGGGTGGATCTAGCCCCGGCCATTGCGGCTCTGGCTCCTGGCTTCAGACCAGGTCTTTTGGGGAATAAATCAGTGGGTTGAAGACCTCTCTCTCTCCATGTTACTCTACATTTCAAAGAGGAGGAGGAAGGGGGAGTGTGCTGGAACCCTGAAAGGCAACTACCAAGGAGGCTGAATGGAAACTAAGTACAAATACAAGACAGCATCTAGATGTGGCAAGAGGAGCAGAAAGCAAAAGGTGGGCAAATAGTAGCACTGGATAACAGGTACAGTTACTTCAAAACTGCTTTCAATTTTAATCCTGAATCAGGAGCTTATCGTAGAGACCAGTGTCCAACTCCATTCTAGAAGTTAAACAAATGCAAGCAGGTACCCATTTAACCTGCACTAAATGGATACTTACTTTTGTTTAAGAGGCAGAGAGAGGACAGAAAGACAGATAGCTCTCATCCATTGGTTCACTCCTCAAATTCCCACAACAGCCAGGGCTGGGCTAGGCTGAAGTTGGAAGCTCAGAAGGAACTCAGTCCAGATGTCCCACACAAGTGGCAGGGACCCAACTACTTGAGCCATTACCACTGCCTCCCAAGGTAGACTTGGGCAGGAAGCTGCAGTGAGGAGCTAGACACAGCAATCAAACCCAGGTATTCTCATGCAGAATGTGGGTACCTTGACTGTTAGGCTAAACACCTGTTCTTGAAAGCATTTTCTTATTCCCAGAACACTTTATAATATTTTATTCCTTAAGCTCAATGAATAGGTAGTTGAGTATGCCTTAAGCTTTTCTGAATACCTTTTTGTATATCTGATATAATTTAAAATAAACTTAAAATATATGCCCAAAATGCAGTATTGAGTGAAAGAAAGCTAGGTGTTTGAACAGCAGGCATAGTTAATTATACTTCCTCTCATATAAAATTATGGAATTATCCCCATATAAGTACATATGCATGAGGAGGTATATAGAAGGATATTCACTAATTATTTCAACAATGATTATCTATGGTTAATTGGGTTTAAGGCCATTTTTATTTTCTTCTTGGTGTTCCTCTATTTTGATCAAATTATTACAAGGTACACCTATTGGAGTTTTTTTTATCAATACAAATCACAAACACATGGCACAGAATATCCTACCCTACACAGTCATTTATTACCCTTAGGAGTAGGCACTACAGTCATGGCTGGGTTACTACAGCTGAGGGGCAGAGAACAAACTTCTGCCCATACTTTGGTCTTGCTAGAAAAACCAGACTAAGAACAATCAAAAAAGCTGCTGCTACAGCAGAACTTCCACTCTAAGAGGCAGGGAGCAGAGAAGCTAAGGAGAGAAAACCAAACCTATTCCTTTAAGGGAAGAGCTCTCTTCATGTGCCCACAGATCCATGGATACTACTCTCCATTCCCTCATGGGACAGCAACGTGCCAAAGCTAAGTACACTTGTAACTTCCTTATTTCTAAGTCTACTATTGCATCTTTCCCAGTGGTTCAAGTAATCAGGGATCAGAGAGGATCAACCAGACCAACCCACTCATTGCAGCGTGACTTTGGACAATTTACACCTACAAGCCTTTTCTCTGGTATTGTATCCAAGGACAATTTTTAAAACTTGCCCAATTGTTTGGAGGATTAAATGAGATCAAATATGCAAAACACCTAGGGTAATACCCAGCACACAATAAGCACTTAGTAAGTGGGAGCTGTTTTGTATCACTGAGGATACGGATGCAGTTTAGCAAAGTTTAGATCTGAAACACTCTCATCATCATGATCAACTGCCACCACAGGGGCTAAGCTTCCACCTGCTGCCCTCTTGAACTGTTCTTCCCACAACTTCTGAAATATAGTCTTTGAAGTTCTCCTCCAAACTCTACCATCACCAGGCCCTCGCACCAAACTCACCTGTTTAGCATATTGGACTGGTAGATTCTCTTCTCGTGAGTGTTATAACAACTGCTTTTGGGCTCGGGGATGAAGCTATGTTCAGACAACATGTCAGAAGCAGCAGTGGTGATGATGGCAATCCCATCTCTCACTCTGGCAGGCAGACCATAGTCCCACTCGTCATACGATACAGAAATGAGTCCAGTGGGGAACTCTGAGGGCACGGTATCTGTATCTCCTGCCACCAGACTAGGCACAATCCATGTGTAGCCATAGCCCGTCAGCCCTACTGAGTTCGCCACTTCAAAGATGTAGGTGGCTTCTTCCTTGGTACAATAAAGAAGAATGATGGGACTTTGGAGTTTCTTGAGCTGATTCTGGATCTTAGAATCTCCATCATCCAGGGACATATCCAGTAGGAGGACTTCCTCCAACTCCCAGCCCACGAAGCTGTTCTCGATGGTGCTGCGGATCTTGTTTACAAAGTCCTGGTAGCCAGGGAAATAGGTGGTGACGATAGAAAAGATGTACCAGTCATATTCTTCCATGATGTTGAGCATCACAGAAGCCTGCTGTTCGATGGACGGGCCAAACTGGAAGAACATGGAGGATTCATCCTAGAATAGCAAAAGGCAAAAAAAAAAAAAAAAAGAGAAAAAAAATCAAGTTTAAGATAGCGATAGAGATCTTCCAGCTAATCAAATACAACCATCTGCCACCATTTGATTTTTTTTTAATATAATACCTTTAAATTTTTTTCATGAAATGCCTTAATTATTTGAATTGCAATATTTTATAATACTTTTTTTTTGTAAACTATCTCTAGACTTTCAAGGAAATAAACATAGGTCTATACTCTTGTCTGAAATCCTGTGGCCACTGCCAGAGCTCAGGGCAGCTCCCCAAAATCAAGTATGTTAATATTTTTAAAGAAAAACACGTGAAGAATCACATAAAGTGGAATAAAAGACTCTAAGGGGGCTCATGTCAGTTCAGGTCAGGTTTTACTGTCAAATGAGTTATACAAATTCATACACATTCATGCAGACACACACACACATATACACGCACTTTCCATTTTTCAAGGCTTTTGAATATTTTGATTCTGGATGTGTTTCAGCCACAGAATGAATAATCCAAAATGCCAGCAGCCTACACTTAAACCTATCTGTGGAGGTAGCTCATTGGCTCAAAAGGAGGACGATACTCAAACATGGTTCACTGGGAGAAGCATGTATAAGTAGTACAAGTCTTCTATAAGCATATAACTGTTAATTTAACAGCACATTTAGTGTCCTCTCTTAGTTCTGCTCTCATAAGATATGCAAGTTAGAGTAAGGTTCAAACTGCCCATCAAAACTACAAGTTAAAATTACTGGTATCTGCCGGTGCCGCGGCTCAACAGGCTAATCCTCCACCTAGCAGCGCTGGCACACCAGGTTCTAGTCCCAGTTGGGGCGCCGGATTCTGTCCCGGTTGACCCTCTTCCAGGCCAGCTGTCTGCTGTGGCCTGGGAGTGCAGTGGAGGATGGCCCAAGTCCTTGGGCCCTGTACCCGCATGGGAGACCAGGAGAAGCTCCTGGCTCCTGGCTTCAGATCAGCGCGGTGCGCCGGCCGCGGCAGCCAGTGGAGGGTGAACCAACGGCAAAGGAAGACCTTTCTCTCTGTCTCTCTCTCTGTCCACTCTGCCTGTTAAAAAAAAAATTACTGGTATCTAAATTCATAAGTGATTAAACTTTAATTTAGAGCAACATATAGAAGTTTGTTCTTTCCCTTACATTTATAACACCACAGGGTTTGGTATGACCTGAGTGTTTAACACACACCTTTCTGTCAACTCTGAGCATCTTCTGCTCTCTCCTGCCTTTTGAAAGAGAATGCATGTTAAAAACTGTATTTCATGTGCTATCCTGATGCTAAACCCTGCATGCTTCCCTACCTAATGGCTCGAAGAATCTGAAATCACAGGATAGATAGCCTCCTGGCCTTGTCTCTCTCTCAGTTCATTTTCCTAACTTCCACTTGGTATTTCTTTTCTTAGTCCAAGCATCTACCTTCTACCTATAGTTCATCTCCATTTTTTAACAACCCCAGCTCACAAAATTATGTCTGTTGCCAAGGCGCAATTCTTTTGTATTCTCCAACTAGAGCTCCAAAGTACAGTTACAGGAGACCAAGAAACTGAGCCTTTATACAAAATTATATAGGATTGCTTAGTTCGGGAACATATTGTTGTACAATTGAGAAATTGCTGAGTATTTCTTGGGCACCTTCTATTGAAAAAAAAATACAGGTTGGGAAATATCCAGCTGGTATCCAAAGACCCTGATTCGGCAGTGAGTGCTGCCAACGCCTTGGCTCTCCCAGTGCTCTATTAGCGAATTATGGCTTGAGCTTCTCCATTTTCCACAGGGTGTCGAGAAGGAAGCAGGAAATGCTTGCATGCATGGGGGTGAGTCCTCCAGCTGAGGGCAAAATGGCATTGCTTATCCTGGGTTCCTCCTCTGGAATTAAAGATAGAGTTGCAAAGGGGACTTTTAGGACCCCGGAATTCAGAAAAGCAGGAAAAATTGGACACCAAGAATGGGTATGAAGGGGAAAGGAAATTAATTCAGAATTGAATAATTACAACACCTGTGCTCACTCCATACCCTGGTCAGTTCCTGAGCTTCCCTGCGGAATGAGTACTGCACAGCTGGTCTTGTCCTTGGGTTCTAAGATGCAGTGTGTTAAGATCTGAATGACAGTATCTCCCTGCAAATTCAGATGTTGGAATCCTAACCCTCAGAGGGATGGTTTTGGAAATGGAGCTTTTAGGGAGGTGACTGGGTCACAAGGCAGGGCCATTACAAAAGAGATTCCTGAGAATTTCTCTGCCCCTTCCACCTTGTGAGGACACAGAGATTTCATCTTGGAACTACAGAGTGGGGCTTCACTACACACTGCATCTGCTGGCACTTTGATCTTAGATTTCTAGCATCCAGAACAGAAAAAAAATAAATGTCAGTTGCTGATAAACAATGCTGTTTGTGGTATTTCGTTATAGTAGCCCAAAAGCATTAAGACAAGTGGGAATCCAGGACAATAAAGTTTAGTTATTTCAAGACTGGTCAGGCCTACTGGAAACCATTACAGCAAGGAAGGGAGGCCAGGACAGAGTTCATCTAGAATAGCTGTCACTTTAAAGAAATACCCATTTGTTTTTTCTTGTCAAACCTCTAGCTAAAGGGAGTTTTTGGGATTCTCAGATGAGAGATATGACTATCACACGAATTTCTACCAGCCCACTGGTTTTAGCAAAGTGACAAAAGCTTTCAAATATACCTTAAAATGTACAGGCTTGGGATGAAAGGGATCCCAGTTGCATATGAAGCAAGCCTAGCTGGTCTGTGATAAATGAACAGATCTTATCATAGGAAGTTCTTGAGTACACACACGTGTCATAGACAGGGCATCTCAAATGCATGGCAAGAGACAACCTTGAGAGAAAACTGTGGAAGCTCACAGTGAATGAGCTCACACGAATGAGACTGAATTTAAAAGAAAATCAAGCATGAAATACCAACCTGACCCTCCCCTCAATTAGTTGTCCTCTGATGCTCTTACAAGTATAAATGAGCTTGTAAACACACTATCAGCTGGCGCTGTGGTGCAGCAGGTTAATGCCCTAGCCTGAAGTGCCAGCATCCCAGGTGGGTGCCTATTCGAGTCCAGGCTGCTTCACTTTCAATCCAGCTCTCTGCTATGTCCTGGGAAAGCAGTAGAAGATGGTCCAAGTCCTTGGGCCCCTGCGTCCAAGTGGGAGACCCAGAAGAAGCTCCTGGCTCCTGGCTTCAGATTGGGACAGCTTTGGCCATTGCGACCAACTGGGGAGTGAACCATCAGATGAAAGACCTCCCTCCCTCCTTCCCCTCCCTTCCCTCTCCCCCTCTCTTATCTCTGTGTAACTCTGACTTTCAAATAAATACACACTGCCAACGACCAATGTATGGTGAGAGTAAGAAAAGAAAAACCAACCCAGTGCCATCATTTCCCATCACATCCTGAGCTTATCCTCTTCTTCTATTGTCCTACACAACTTCATCCATTTTAGATTGTTCTGCTCTCATCCTTACTCATCTAAAACATTTTATCTCATCAAGCCTTCATTTAAATCAGGATGCCTTATATGACCATTTTATCTGGCACCAAAGGAAAGTGAACAAAGCCAAACAGAAATCAAGAGACAGACTTATAGCTTGGGCAAATGTTTCCTGGTATAATGAGTAGTCCAGTGTTATTAATTTAGTTGACACATCAATCTGGTGTACAGCAATTGGGAATGGAACAGCTCTTTTTCAACAAAGCTCTGGGCTAACTATAAGTTGCAAACAGTGACAGGCTTTGCAAATTATGGCTATAGCCACAAATCAAAGAGCAATCTTCATGTGTGCATGGAGTGGAAAGGACTGGTGGCCATGCATCCATCTTTGCGGGCATCCAGCATGCACTGTGATCACAAGTGATCTAGGATGAAGGTCGGAGATGTAATTCAGTTTGCAGCTCCCTGTGCTACACCTGCTCATACTTTTATCTCCTAATGTCATTGCAAAATGTTGACATGTATGGATCCTTAGAGCAATCTCCTCCTCCTGTGAAGATTCTCAAATTGGTGGCAGGAATGTCTTCTTCAGCTACGCCATGAGAGCATCTTTAAAGCATTCCTGTATCATAGGCCACCTTCCCAAAGAGATGAGCAATTAGCACAGGGAAGGCAGATTAGACTCCACCAGTCTACAACCTTTCTGTTGGACCTCCATCACTTTAGTGTTGGTGTTGTATTTGCTAAGAAGACAACACAGGGCCAACATTGTGATGTAAAGCCACTGCCTGCAATGCCAGCATCCCATACAGGTACCAGTTCAGCCCCAGCTGTCCCACTTCTGATCTCACTCCCTGCCAATGGCCTGGGAAAAGCAACAGAAGATAGTCCAAGTGTTTAGGCACATGGCACCCATGTGGGAGACCTAAATCAAGCTTCTGGCTTCAGCCTGGCCCAGCACTGGCTGCTGGAGTCATTTGGGAGTGAACCAGGAGATGGAAGACCTCTGTCTCTCCCTCTCT